AGTTTTGTCGGTTTGCTTCATATATTTTAGGGCTCTGCTTTTTAGTGTGTATATGTTTATAATTACTGTATGTTCTTGGTGGATTGCTCTTTTATCAATATATAATGTCCTTCATCTCTTTTAACAGATTTTGACCTAAGTCTATTTTTTTCGGATATTAGTACATCCATCTCAACTCTCATTTGGTTACTATTTGAATGGAATATGTTTTCCACCCTTTCCTTTTTAACCTATTTGTGCTTTTGTATCTTAAGAGAGTCTCTTAATTTCTCACCTTGGGGGGAAAAATGGTAACTATGTGAGATGATGGATATATTAATTAGCTTGACTGTGGTAATCATTTCACTATGTATATGTATAGCAAAACACCACATTATACATCTTAAATATACACAACTTTTATTAGTCAATTATACCACATTAAGACTGGAAAAAATTTTTTAAATAAAGCGAGTGCTGTAGGCTGGATCCCAACTCCCCTCCCCCACACATGCACCTCATTAAAGCTTAATCTTCACTGTAACTGTTGAGGGTGGGAAATCCTATTATGGTAATTGAAAGATGGGGTTTTGAAGAGGTGATTAGATTGTAGTATCATGCCATAATGAATGCATTAAAAATGGTGGTCATGGGCATGGTTCTGCAGGCTTTAAAAAGAGAGTGAATGAGGAGGTTAGTCTCTTGCTTTCTCTGCTCTACCATGTGATACTCTGCCATCACTGTGAGACGCCACTAAAACCCACACCAGATGTGTTCCCTGGACTTTGGATCTCCCAGACTCAGAAACTGTAAGCAATAAATTTCATTTTCTTTATAATTCACCCACTTCCAGGTATTTTATTATAAGCAAAAGAAATGGAATAATACAGTGAGTCACTCATAGAGAGCACATAATTGGATTTCATTTGTTTATCTATTTTTCCAATCTCAGCCATTTTTTAAAGATCAGTGGCAAATGATTTATATAAGTATATATAAATTACTTATTTATTTATGCATTTTGTAACCAGTGTACAGTTCGTTAGTGTTAAGTATATTCACAGTATTGTGAAACAGATCTTCAGAAATTTTCCATCTTGCAAAACTGAATCTTTATACCCATTAAAAAACAACTCCCCTTTTCCCCCTCCCCCATCCCCTGGTAACCAGCGTTCTACTTTCTGTTTGTATAACTTTGACTATTTTAGATACTCATATTGGTGGAAATTAACAATATTTGTATTTCTGTGACTGGCTTATTTCATTTAGCACAATGTCTTTAAAGATCATACATGTTATAGCATGTGTCAGAATTTCTTTCCTTTTTAAGGCTGAATAATATTCTATGGTATGTATTTACCACATTTGTTTATCCATTCATCCACTGATGGATACTTGAGTTGTTTTCACCTTTCTGCTGTTGGAAATAAGGCTGCTATGAACGAGAGGGTACAAATATACCCTGTTTTCTTTTTTCCTAGGTATATATACCCAGAAATGAAATTTCTGGGTCATATATATTTTTTAAATATTTTAAGACATCACCATACTGTTTTCCATAGTGCATAGTGGCTGCACCATTTTACATTCCACCTACAGAGCACAAGGGTTTAAAGTTTCCCCACATCTGCACCAACACTTGTTATTTTATGTTTGTGTGTGTGTGTGTGTGTGTGTGTGTGTGTGTGTGTGTTTAGTGGCTGTATTACTCAGAGTCCTCCAGAGAAACAGAACCAATCATATGTATATGATTTGTTATAAGGAATTTGTTCACATGATTATGGATGACACATGCCAAGCTGTGCAGAGTGTGTCAGCAAGCTGGAGACCCAGGAGAGCCAATGGCTTGGTACCAGTCTACATTCTGGAAGGCTTAAGACCCAGGAAAAACCAATGCTTCACTTTGAGGTCAAGGATGGAAATAAAGCCAATGTCTCTATTAGAAGTCCATCAGGCAGAAAGAATTCTCTCTTACTTAGGGGAGGGTCAGCCTTTTTGTTCTATTCAAGCCTTCGACTAATTGGGTGAGGCTCACATGCCTTATGGAGGGCAATCTGCTTTACTCCATATACTAATTTAAATGTTAATTTTATCCAAAAACATTAACAGAAACACCAGAAAAATAAACACCAAATATTTGGGCACCCCATAGTCCAGTCAAGTTGACACATAAAATTAACCATCACAGTCGTCATCCATTCAGATGGGTGTGATGTGGTATCCATTTACTTTTAAAGTAATTACTAATAAGGAAGGACTTACTTTTGCCTATTTTGTATTTGTTTTCTATATATTGTATATCTTTTTTGTTCCTCATTTCCTCCATTACTACTTCCTTTTGTATTTAACTGATTGTAGTGTATCATTTTGATTCCTTTCTCACTTACATTTTGCATACTTCAGTTATTTTTCTCAGTATTTGCCTTGGAAGTTACGATATTTTACATATATTTGTATATAATATATAACATACAAATATAAATATACAATTAAATTTATGACAATTTATTTTGAATCAATGCCACGTTTGCTTCAATTGTATACAAAAGCTCTACTCCTATACAGATACATTTCTTTCCCTTCGTGTTGTTGCCACAAATTACCTCTTTTACACTGGGTGTTCATTAACTTATAACTTGGTGCTACCTACTTCCCCTTGTTTGCTCACCCTCCTATTTTAACTCATTCTTGATTCCTCATTAGCAGCTAGAGTAGCCAGCTCTGTACCTGTTTTGCATCAGCCAACGCAGAAAATCATGAGAAACTCAGCCTGTAACATGAGCTACCATATTAAATGAGATATCTCTAATGAGTGCCAGCCCAATCCAGACTTACGTTTTTGTTTCCCTTGGTAGAGAACCTTAAAAATCCATAGTCGTATATTCCTTCTAGGATATCTTCCAATAATCATTAGAAAATGCTGTCATTGTTTTCTAGGTAGAATTCCATTTATTCTTACTCTGATTATCCATATTACTCTCTGGATGTTTGGTTTAAATCATATTTAATTGTGAGCCAAAATTAGAGTGGAGCACATCAGGGAGAAATAATACTTTCTACTTGTGGTAAAAAAACTAGAAGTAGTACTACTTCAGATACTCCCATGTGTGTCCCTTTATAATTGTCAGGTTACAAAAATGAAAAACCAACTTTATCTTATGTAAGCAAAAAAGGTAAATGGAATTTGTTAGAGTGAAACCAGGACATGTCACAAAATCTAAGGCAGCACAGCAGCTCTGGGACCACAGCAACAGGAGGTCTTCGGGCTTCCTTTTAATGCATTGCCAGTAGAGCGATGCCATTATCCACATTTAGTCTCTCTGTGTCTAAGTTTAAAATTATAATTTTACAAGAGAGAGAATCTGGCCCAGTTCAAATTAGGTGCATCTGTCCCTGAACAAATCAGTTATGGCTGGGAAGAGAAGGAACAGGATTATGTAATGCTTGTTAAATATTAGGGGCTATGTTATAGATGATATATAGAGAGATATATAGATATTATAAATAATAATATATATAAAATATATTTTAAGATATTATAAGGAATTGGCTTACATGATTGTAAGGACTGGCTAGGCAAATACAAAATCCACAGGGAAGACTGTCAACAAGGATAGGCCAGACCTCTTAGGTATAAGCTGAAGCTGCTAGCCACAGGTAGAATTTATTCTTCAGGGAATCATCAATTCTTCTCTTAAGGCCTTCTAACTGATTGGGTAGAGTCACCCGGATTACCTAGGATAATCTCACTCACTTAAAGTCAACCAATTGTGTACTTAAATCACATCTACAAAACACTGTCACAGCAACAACTACATTACTGTTTGAGTGAATAATGGGGGAATGTAGCCTAGCCAAGCTGACATATAAAAATGACCATCACATTGAGTAATTCCATTCTGTTGCTCTGGAATCAGCTTTACAGATTAGAACAGCATAGTAACCAGAAAAGGAGGAACTGCAGAGATCTGGGGAGACTACCCTATGAGTACTCCTAAAATGTCCACTCAACAGCCCTAAAGTTTACACATGTAGCAGTATAATTTATTAAGTCATTAATTTGTGAGCTTTTTTCTTTCCATGTATTTTGTCCTAATCCATTCCAAAAACGTAGTCAAGCCCTTTGTGCTCTCTTGTGTCAAAGGGGTTAGAATTAAAACCAGAAACCAGAAGATACCTATAGAACATTTAATTTTCTAGTAAAAAAATTCTACACCCACGGTTGACACAGAAGCCACAGAGCCACCAGATTTCAAATATAATAAGTAGACATGGATAATGAGGATATCATTCCTAACCTCCATTATTCAAGCTCCATGCAAGCCTCTCACATTCTTCTGTGACTTACGGGAGAGGAAGGCCCTCAGAAATGACTTAATCTTCCACCAGTTCAGCAGAATGGAGATTTGGAGTCAGATTTGAAGTAAAGTGAAAGAACGTGGAATTTTTTTTACATCCATTTGCAGAGTTAAGAGTTGTACTTGTTATACATATAGTAAGCTTGGTGACAGAAAAAAAAATTTTTCCTCCATTCCAATTCCAAATTCTCAGGTGAGGGACTCTGAAAAGCTCAGCTGAGTCTAATGCCCACCCTAACCCAATCAACTATGATCGCAGGAATAGTGTAATATTGAAACACAGCTACCGGGAACCAACTCTTTCGACCATGTAAATCAGAGACATCATTTCACAGAGAAAGTGAGGGGTCATCAGTTTGAAATATCCATTACAACATCATCATTAACTTTTTCTTCCACTCAGTCCAATTCAGAGGGTATCATCACTGCCTAATTGTTATCTGGTCTCTTTGGCAGCTTCAGTTTGAGTCATCTTCCAAAAGTGATGTAGCTCCAAAGTCTGACTTCCAACACCAAGTCTCTCTCTGTCTCACAGTTCCAAAATTCATATCCTGAATACCCAAATCTTCCTCCAGATGCCTGCCACTGATAGAGCCAACCTAATGGCCTTCCAGGTATATAGTCAGACTAGAAATACCAGGTAAATAATTACTCGGTTAATCATTAATTCAATCAACAAATATTTATTAAATGCTTTTACTTCCAGGTACTGGTATAGTTACTAATTATACAACCTCTCCCATTCCACCAACCTTAAGTTATGAGGTTATACATTGCACAAGTATCATTATACTGCAAATAATAGCATCACTCTAAAATGCCACAAATATTCCCACTTCACGTTTACTCATATACAACCCCTCCCTTCCCACAAAGTTTACCAGAGAAGAATATATGTTGTTCAGAATATGAGTATTATTATAGTTCAAATAATACAATAATATCAATGTAAAATATTAATGATATTCCCCCCTACATTTAACAATACAACCCCTCACCCTAGCAAGCTTATTAAAACATTATACATTTTATACTTTAAAAGAGCATCATCAAGACCAAATAACATATGACACCAACACAAAATTTCAAGTATCTGCCACCTTTTAACATTCAAAACTACTAGTCCCCTTCTATCAATTCAACCATTTCTTCCAAAATAAATTAACCCTTCAAAATATTTACAAAAAAATGTTCCTTCCTTTCTTCCCACACCATTATCTTCTCAGTCTTCTCAGATCCTACTATTCAAATTCCTGGTTGGAGTCCAGGTCCCTACTTCACTTGTAGACTGGGATTTCCTCTGGTATGAGTGTGGTTGGAATAATATAACTGTTGTTGTATAACAATATATTATATAAAATATTATATAATAATATAACAGCAGTTATATTATTCCAACCCCAAGCCTCTCATGTGTCCTACAATTTTCAAGTTTTCTGATATGATAACCAAAAATCTCCCTTCTGGCATCTATTTCTGCAATAGATAATATCACAAGCATATTCCAAATAATGTATATCTATCCAGTCCTCTTCCTCCTGTCAAATCAGGCTCTTATTCCTCCAGAGAAAGTAAAGTCCCAATATATACAAGACTTTTAACATAGTTTCAGTAGAAAATATTCAATCATAAGGATAGTGATTTCATTCTCAAGAATTTTGTTGGATCCTGGATGTCTTCAGCACCTGAAAACTGGGATTTCTCCCACTGGAAGTGACAAAGCACCTCCAAAGTCTTTCATGAGCCCCATCTTTCTAAAGTTCAAAGAGTCGCTATCTGAGCGTAAAGCTTAAAAGAATAAAACATCAGTCCCACTCTCATAAAAGCTTGGAAACAAAATAAAATCCTGAACTAAAGGTGACACCTGAAGTGGCTGACACTCTAAAGCCCCATCTCTTATACGAGAGCATTTCCCAAGCAACAGTCATGTTCCTAGACCTATGTTCTTATTAGAAAACATAGTCCATAACAGGAGCTTAATATTATGTGGATAAAAAAAGGAGAAAATCAAAGAGATAGAAGTGTCAGTCAATCCATGACAGCTTCTCAGATTTTTACAAAGTATAAATTTAAATCTTCTACTTAAAAATTAGTACTCATGGACAAGATCTCCTCTCTTAAGAATGGAACCAAATAACATTAATATATTTTAGCAAAATTTAGAAATTTGCTATATTTGCACCTTTATTTTCCAGATTTTTCCTATTACCTTACCTACACATAGTTCCTTACATATTTAAATCTCTTCTCCACTGTGCCTGAGATAACCTCCATTTTGTCCTGCAATACATTCCTACCTCCTGTGTTCCAGTCCTCTTGTCTCTGAATTAAGATATGTATACAGCGACCAGTTAGGGCCTTTCCCTATTTACTTCCCTGAAATGCTACTAAAGAATTAGCATTTATGGAAGTATGCAGAAGTGATACTTGGTGTCCAGATGCTCTTGGAACTTTGGCTAGGCCACTTTCTAGGCAAGTTCTTGGAGTATGGTGGCATGCCAACTGACCAATCATCCTGGTAGAGCTAATGTATGGCAGCTCTGGTCAGAAACACCTGAGTGGGACAAACAAACATAACCAGATGGTAGTCAGAAACCATGAATAATCCTCACATGCCCAGTTGGAAAACTATCTTCCCATGCACTTTGAAATGAATAGAACCATTCATCTCAACACCAGCCTTTCAGATTTTCATAGGAATCATGTGTCCTAGATACATTTACACTGTATATCCTTTGTAATTTTTTAAAATTGGTTATGAATATTCATGAGATACAAAGCTGATTGTCACTACTTGTGCCCATGATGTGAGGGCCAGATTCATACTGGCAGCATAACCATTACCACAAATTACATTTATGCCCCGTGTCCCAGACCCAATTATCCCCAACCTCCCTCCCCCTCCCCCTTTGCACCCCAACCCACTTTGTAACCCAAGGAATGTTCTCTCCCTCTGCAAGTCCAATGCACCACTGTGGTCTTTCTTTCCTTCCTTCTTTCTCTCTTAGCTCCCACATATGAGTGAGGACGTGGTATTTATCCCTCTGTACTTTGCTTATTTCACTCAACATAAGCTTCTCCAGGCTCATACATGTTGCTGCAAATGAGAGTACTTCATTCTTTTTTATGGCAGAGTAGTATTCCATGGTGTATATATACCACAGTTTCCTTATCCAATCATCCATCAATGGACATTTAGTTTGGTTCCATGTCTTGGCTGTTGTAAACAGAGCTGCAATGAACATGGGAGTGCAGGCATCCCATCAACATGATTTCCATTCCTCTGGGTATATACCCAGAAGTGAGATTGCTGGATTGTATGGAAGATCTATCTGTAGTTGTTTGAGAAACCTTCATACTGTTTTCCACAGTGGTTGCACTAATTTACAGTCCCATCAGCAGTGTAGGAGTGTTCCCTTCTCTCCACACCCTCGCCAACATTTGTTATTCACCATCTTTTTGATTATAGCCAGTCTAACTTGGATGAGGTGGTATCTCAATGTAGTTTCAATTTGCATTTCCCTTATGACTAATGATGTTGAGCATTTTTTCATGTACCTGTTGGCCATTTGTATGTCTTCCTTTGAGAAATGTCTATTCAGCTCCTTTGCCCATTTTTTAATAGGGTTGGTTGTTTTTTTACTGTATAATTGCTTGAGTTCCCTGTATATTATGGATATTAATCCATGTCAGATGCATAGTTAGCAAAAATTTTCTCCCACTCTGTAGGCTGTCATTTCACTCTGTCAATTGTTTCCTTTGCTGTGAAGAAGCTTTTTAGTTTGATATAGTTCCATTTGTTTATTTTAACTTTTGCTGCTTGTGCTTTTGGGCTCCTGTTCATAAAGCCTGTGCCCAGACCTAGTTGCTGAAGTGTTTTGCCTATATTTTCCCTTAGTAATTTTACAGTTTCAGACCTCACACTTAAGTCTTTAATCCACTTTCAGTTGATCTTAGTGTATGGTGAGAGGTAGATATCTAGTTTCATTCTTCTGCATATGGATATCCAGTTTTCTCAGCACCACTTGTTGAAGAGGCAGTCTTTTCCCCAATGTAGATTTTTGTTACCTTTGTCCAATATCAGATGACTGTAAGCCTGAGGGGTGATTTCTGGGTTCTCAATTCTATTCCAATAGTCTGTCTATTTTTATACCAGTACCATGCTGTTTTGGTTACAATGGCTTTGTAGTATAATTTGAACTCAGGTAGTGTCATGCCTCTGGCTTTATTTTTATTTTTATTTTTTTGCTCAGAATTTCTTTGGCTATTTGGGGTCTTTTGTTGTTCCATAAAAAGAGTACGATTGTTTTTTCCATTTCTGTGAAGAATGTCATTGGTATTTTGATGGGGATTGCATTGAATCTGTAGATCACTTTGGGTAGTATACACATTTTCACAATGTTAATTCTGCCAGTCCAAGAGCATAGAATATCTTTCCATATTTTTCTGTCTTTAATTTCTTTCAAAAGTGGTTTGTAGTTCTCATTTAGAGGTCTTTCACCTCCTTGGTTAAATTGATCCCTAGGTATTTTATTTGTGTGTGTGTGACAATTGTAAATGGGCTTACTTTCTTTATTTCTCTTTTTGTTAGTTCATTATTTGAGTATATAAATGGAACTGATTTGGAGGCATTCATTTTGTATCCTGCAATGTTACTGAAGTTATTAACCAGCTCTACAAGTTTTTTGATAGAGTCTTTAGGTTTTTCTACAGATAGTATCATGTCATCTGCAAATAGAGAAAGTTTGACTTCATCGTTTCCAATCTGGATTCCCTTTATTTCTTTCTCTTGCCTGATTGCTCTGGCTAGTACATCCAGTACTATTTTGAGTAGAAGTGGTGAGAGTAGGCATCCTTCTCTTGTTCCTTTTCTTAAAGGAAAGGTCCTCAGTTTTTCCCCATTCAGAATGATATTGGTGATGGGCTTGTCACCAATGGCTTTTATTGTGCTGAGATATTTTCCTTCTATAACTAATTTGTTGAGAGTTTTTATCATGAAGGTATGTTGAATTTTGTCAAATCTTTTTTCTGCATCTATTGAGATAGTCACACAGTCTTTGTCCTTGAGTTTGTTGATGAGATGTATCACATTTATTGACTTTCATATGTTAAACCATCCTTGCATGCCTGGGATGAATCCCACCTGATCATGGTGTATAATTTTTTTAATATGCTGCTGTATTCTGACTTAATATTTTGTTGAGGATTTTTGTGTCTGGTTCATCAAGGATATTAGCCTGTAATTTTATTTTTTTGTTGTGTCTTTATCTGGTTATGGTATCAGAGTTATGTTGGCCTCATAGAATGAGTTTGGGAGAGTAGCTTCTACTTCATTTGTTTGGAATAGTTTGAGGAGAATTGTTATTAACCCCTCTTTAAAAGTTTGATAGAAGTTGGCTGTAAAGCCATAAGGACCCAGACTTTTCTTTGTTGAAAGATTGCTAATTACTGCATCAATCTCCTTGCTCGTTATTGGTCTTTTCAGGTTTTCTATCTCTTCTTGGTTCAGTTTTGGTAGTTTGTATGGGTCTAGAAACTTATCCATATCTTCCAGATTTTTTTTTTTTTTGTCTTTTCCATGACCAGTAAGGGGATCGCAACCCTTGGTGTGGTGTCACCCGCACCGCGCTCAGCCAGTGAGCGCACCGGCCACTCCCATATAGGATCCGAACCCGCGGCGGGAGCGTCTCTGCGCTCCCAGCGCCACACTCTCCTGAGTGCGCCATGGGGCCGGCCCTATATCTTCCAGATTTTTCTATTTGTTGTCATACAGTTGTTTATAATAGCCTCTAATGATTCTTTGTATTTCTGTGCTATCGGTTGTAATGTCTCCCTTTTCATTTCTGATTTTTTGTTATTTGGGTCTTCTCTCTCTCTCTCTCTTTTTTTTTTTTGTTCACCTAGCTAATGGTTTGTCTATTTTATTCTCAAAAAACCAACTTTTTGTTTTGTTGATCTTTTCTGTTGTGTTTTGGGTCTCTATTTCATCTACTTCTGCTCTGATCTTAACTATTTCTTTCCGTCTACTACCTTCAGGTTTGGATTGTGGTTGTTTTTCAAGTTCTTTCAGGGACAGTGTTAGGTCATTTATTTGAAGTCTTTCTGTTCTTTTGATGTAAGCATTTATTGCAATAAATCTGCCTATTAGTAATGGTTTTGCAGTCTCCCACAGGTTTTTGTATGATGTATATTTATTTTTATCAGTTTCTAGAAATTTTTTGATTTCCTGTTTAATTTCTCCTGGGACCCATAGGTCATTCAGGAGCTTATTATTTATTTTCCATGTACTTGTATAATTTCCAGAATTTCACTTATTATTAATTTCCAATTTTAGTCCATTGTGGTCTGAAAAGATACTTGGAATGATTTCAATTTTTTAAAAATTTGCTGAGGCTAGATTTGTGACCTGGTATGTGGTCTATCATGGGGAATGTTCCATGAACTGATGAAAAGAAAGTATATTCTTTAGTTGCTGGGTGAAATATTCTTTATATATCTGCCAGGTCTAGTTAGTCTAACATGTAGATTAAATCCTGTGTCTCTTTGTTGATTTGTTGCCTGGAAGACCTGTCCCATACTGAGAGACAGGTGTTCAGGCCACCCGCTATTAACATATTAGGGCCTATTTCTTTCTTTAGGTCTAAGAATGTTTGCTTTATATATCTGGGAGCTCCAGTATTGGATGCATCTATATTGATGATTGTTATGTCTCCTAGCTGGATTGATCTTTTTATCATTGTATAGTGGCCTTTGTTGTCTCTTTTTATGTTTTTTAGTTTAAAGTCTATTTTATCCGATATAACAGTAGCTACTCCTGCTCATTTTTGGTTCCCATTTGCATGGTGTATCTTTTTCCATCCCTTCACTTTTAGTCCTTCTGTGTCTCTATATGTGAGACAGTCTCTTGAAGACAGCATATACTTGGGTCTAGCTTTTTAATCCAATCAGCCAATCTGTGCCTTTTGAATGGGGATTTGAATCCATTCACATTTAGGGTGATTATTGACAGAAATTGTTTAATTCCTGTCATTTAATTGCTTTTTGTTTAGATGATTTAAATATCTTTTGATGATTGCTTCCCCTTTTATTTCTCTTCTTCAATGTTAGTTGGATATTTGAGGTGGCATCATTTAGCTTCTTGCTCTTTCTCACTGGCATTTTTGTTTTAACAGCAGGTTTTGCTCTTTTTTTGTTTATCTGTGGCAGTGACATTCATTATTCAGATTCCAGATGAAAGACCCCCTTGAGTATTTCTTGCAGGGCTGGTCGTGTGAAGGTGAAATCCCACAATTTTTGTTTGTCTGGGAAATACACTATTTTCTCCTCCTTTCTGAAGGAGAGTCTTGCTGGGTAAAGAATTCATGGCTGGCAATTTTTTTCTTTTAGTGTTTTGAATATATCATTCCACTTTCTTCTGGCCTGTAGATTTTCACTTGAGAAGTCTGCTGTTAGTCTGATGGGTTTCCCTCATAGGTGACTTAATGCTTTTCTCTTGCTGCTTTTAAAATTCTCTCTTTGTCTTTGAGCTTTGCAAATTTGACTGTAATGTGTCTTGGGCAGGATCTTTTTGGATTGAATCTGTTTGGGGACATTTGAGCTTCCTGGATCTGAAGGTCTGCATCTCTCCCTACCCCTGGGAAGTTTTCTATTATTATTTCCTTGAATAGGTTTTCAATACCTTTTCCTGTCTCCTCCCCTTCTGGAATACCCATAATTCAGATGTTAGAGTGCTTGAGGTTGTCTGCTATATCTCTTAGATTTTTCTCATTATTTTTAATTCTCTTTTCCTTTTTTTGTCTGCTGGGTTATTTCAAAAAGACCATCTTCATGATCTGCAATTCTTTCTTTTCCTTGCTCTAGGCTGCTGTTCAAGCTCTCTGTTGTGTTTTTTATTTCAGTAAGTGAATCTTTCATTTCTAGGAGTCCTACTACATTCTTTTTTAAGGTATTAATCTCTTTGTAAATTTCCTCCTTCATATTCTGGGTATTTTTTCTTTTTTCACTGTGTTCTCTAATTGAGTCTCCTTTTATTTCTTCAAGCTTTCTTAAGATCATTGCTTGGAATTCTTTTTCAGACATTTCAATGATTCCCTGTTCTATGATGTCTGGGATTTGAGCATTACTGTATTCCTTTGGTGGTGGTGTTTCTTCTTGTTTATTTGTAATTCTAATATTTTTTCATTGACGTTTGGTCATTTGGTAGAGGGTTTGTTTCTTCTGTTACACTGACGTTGGCTGTGGACTGGCCCTGGTTGCTACTGTGTTGGTGAATTGTCTTCCCTTGACAGTAGGTGTGGTGGTGGTTAAGTTAAACCACCTTGGGTCCTGTTCCAGAATCTGTGGTCATAAAATGAGCCCCCAGCTCTGCACCATTCTGTTGGGCTTACCTCGGCAGGTCGGGCTGTGTGGGCTGGCACTCCACTCCAGGTCGGCGGTTGCCTCTGTGGCATGGTTCTGCTCGGCTCACCTTGGCGGGTCAGGATCATGCAGGCTGGTGCTCCCCTCTGGGTCCAAGGAGGGGTGAAGGGTCACCTCTGCCATGTGGTTCTGCTGGGCTCACCTCGGCAGGTCAGGGCCACGTGGGCTGGCGCTCCCCTCTGAATCCAAGGAGGGGGGAGGGGTCACCTCTGCCATGTGGTTCTGCTGGGGTCACCTCAATGGGTCAGGGCCACAAAGGCTGGCCCTAAATTTTTCTGAGACCTATAATTCTTCATTTAAAAGGGGTTGCCAGAGGTCACACTATCCATTTCCTACCTTCAAGCAGAACTGCACCCAAGTTAGATGAGTATAATCATAGCTAATACTAACACAGTGCCAAGCACTGATCTAAGATACTAAGATGTGTGTGTGCACGTGTGCGTGTATGCGTGCATGTGTGTATATGTATGTGGAGAGAGAAAGAGGGAGATTTAATCTATACAATAACTCTAAGAAATAAATATTATTATCTCCACTTTAGAGATGAGGAAAGTAAGGTATAGGAAGATTAAATGATTTGTCCATGACTATAAAGCTAGTAAGTAGCTGAGCCAAGATTCGAACTCAATCTGTTGTGACAGTCTACACTCAATCATATCACTCTATGGCTTCTACATTATTTTATGGCTATTAAATAGTACTCCCAGGATGTCTCCACTTACCTAAGTTGAAAGACAGCAAGCAAAAAGGAAAGAAACTAAACAGGAGTATAATTGAGTACTATATATTTCCCTTTAAGCTCAGAGAAATGTATCCCACCATAGAAAGAAAAAACAAAAGCCATGATTTTTCATAAAGGAGTGATGGACAGATCAAATTCGGACTTTTACTAGATTCCCTTACACGGTATTACAATTGAAAATGTTCTAGGGAGAGTTTCTTGGGGTAGTTTTTATTTTTTTATTTTTGGTCTCTTTAATATAGTCTCAACTAGACATAAAATGGAAAAAATGTACCATTTCCACCAAGCTTTTGAGTTTTATGCTACAAAAGTGTTACTCATCCTACCTCCACCCCCAACTCCCACTGCCACCCCCACAATGTAACAATCCAAGAAGTAGTTCAATGTACCTTTTGGGAAAAGTGCCTCTTTGCAATTGTTTTGGATCATAAGAACATACCCTTTTCTCCCGTGACAATTTCCCTCCTCAATTTCCCAGCAAAGTGTTTCCTAATGCCTAGACTGTTGGCAGTATTTCTGCTAAGAAAAGCTACTTTCCAATCCTGCCCTGAAGGTTATAGCCTCTTGCTGAAAACCTCAACAGCTCTGCCAGCAAACAGGACAGAGAGGTGGGTTACCTGGCCAATTACTACTGTGATAAGTTTTCTGTGAAAAGTATCTTGCAAGAACACATTCATCAGACCTGCCTCATGTCACAGAGGATAAACAAGGAAAAAGTGTGAATGTTGGGGAAGGGGCGGAAAAGAGTGAACAGTACACAAACAGGATATACAGCTGTTTCAAGATGGAAGAGACAAATGGAGGATAACAGATTCTGTAATTCTTCTTCCCTGGACCCAAATAATATAATCACAAGTTTGCAGAGAAGAATCTGACTTTCTGGATGTATTCCACCACAAGAGTTACAAAGGAACTGATCTATCTATCACAAAATTCTCAAGTGTGTATCTTCTCTTCCCCTGACTTCCAGCCAGAGAGTACTAGAAAAAAACATACCTGCCATATATACAAATTCTAGCCTATTGCTAAAGACTTGCAAAAAGAAGGTTTCGTCCTCCCTCATTCATTCCACTGCCAAGAAATTCTTGCTCTGGTCAAACCCACATCTTTCTTGGATGCCAACAAAACCCAGTCCTCTTCAGATGGTCTGTCTTCCTGGGCTTGGGTTTCGAGTTCAGGAATACTTAATCATGCTGAAGTAGTTCCCCTTGACTCATCCTTCTGATGACCCTGAGATAGGGCAAGCCTCTAGTAAGAGTTCCAGAGGGGGTGGCTTGAGACCAAGGTGTTTATCCCTACTGACCCCCTAGGTAAACCACCCACACCCTGGAGCCAAAGTTCCCATTAGTCTGGCCTTATCTGGCAAAGCCGCCCCTGTTGTTCCTGGCCAAGAAGGTAATTACAGCAAAGTGTTTTATGGTTTTGAGCAGGCTCAGGAAGGAGGAAAGTTGAAGGCACATGGCAGACAGGTACAGAAAAATTGAAGGTGGAGGATTCCAACCACTGCTTTTATGACACAAACACAGTAAATCTGAAGGTTAAAAATGAGGAGTGAGGTATGGCAACTAAAAAAAAAAAAAGATCAATGACTAAATTTTTCAAAACCTTTTGTATGTCAGAGAAACAGTGCAAGAAACTGTTTTATGTCTTGGAGCTAAATTTTTGCCTCAAAGATTTCCATGCAGTTCCCAAATGCTGGCAAGATATATATATTAGACCCTTTATGTGGTTCCAAAAAAAGGCAGTCCAAAGATAGGACTTGGAAGATGTGACTTTGTAATAGCACAGATTTTTCAGACTAAGGTCCAGTTAGTTGATTCTGAGTTCAAGGTGAGTTAGCAAGCTGTCAAAAATGCTAATGTAAAGTTAGGTTGCATTAACAGAAGCATAATGCTTAGAAATAGGGAGATGGTAGTTCCACTCCATTCTGAGCTGTTAAGTCCACACTTGAGATCATTGTTTTTACTGCTGGATACCATACTTTATCACTGACAAAGACAGTAATAGTCTGGAATCCCAGACTATACTGACTGGAAACCAAAAAACCAGGAGAAACGCACATAGTAGCTGCAAACAAAGTCCAGTTAGGAGAACCAAGAGAGACACAGTAGTCATGACCAGAAACAGCAATGGCAATTGAGGTCTACCCAGCAAACTATGTTATGGCTCCTTCAGAAATAGAAACTTTTTGAGAAGATAACTCAGAATGACAATTGACTATAAAGAGCACTGCCCCCAAGTGGCTGAGAAATCTTAGAGCTAGAAGACACCTTGGAGAGCATATAGTCCATACTCTAGTTCTTCCTTTGAAACTCCATTTTCTGCAGTGTTGGGTATACTCATCAATAACATGCTAGTTTCAAATTGACAACCAGGCAAAGCACAAAAACTTCACACTTGAGGACACCATTTACCTAGAAGATAATTTGGTAACCTTCCTCATTAGGGTGAAGATCATTTTTTTAATTGAAAGATAATTTATTATACATATTTGTGGGGTACAAAGTTGACTATCAATAGTTGTATACAATATGTGATGGTCAAATCAGGATAATTAGCTTATTCATCACTATAATACGTAATCATTCTTTGTGTCTGTTAACCAATTTCTCATTAACCCCCCTCCCACTCCCCCAACACTGCCCCTTTCCACCTCTAGTAACCACAGTTCTGTTCACTCCTTCTAAAAGTTCAACATATTGTGATCGCTGTTTCTTTCACTCTCTCTAGCTTTCTTTATTATTTGTTTATTTATGAATTCAGCTCCCACTTATGAGTGAGGTCATGTGGTATTTCTCTTTCTGCACCTGGGTTGTTTCACTTAACATAATGCTCTCCAAGTTTGTCCATGTTGCTGTGAAGGGCAGAATTTCATTCTTTTTTTATGGCTGAGTAGCATTCCATTGTGTATACATACCACATTTTCTTTATCCAGTCTTCCACAGATGGGCATTTAGGTCAGTTCCATAGTCTGGCTATTGTAAATAGAGCTGTGATGAACATGGGAGTGCAGGTATCCTTTTGACATGATGATTTCCAATCCTATGGATATATACCCAGTAGTGGGATTGCTGAATCATATGGTAGTTCTATCTGCAGTTGTTTGAGGAATGTCCATACTGTTTTCCATATGGCTGTACTAATTTATAGTCCCACTAACAGTGCAGAAGTGTTCCCCTTTATCTACATCCTCACCAGCATTTGTTATTCTCTGTCTTTTTGATAATAGCCAGTCTAACTGGGGAACTCAAACAACTTAACAGTAAAAAAGCAATTACCCTGATTAAAAAATGGGCAAAGGAGCTGTATAGGCATTTCTTAAAGGAAGATACACAAATGGTCAACAGACACATAAAAAAATGCTCAATATCATTCAGCATCAGGGAAATGCAAATCAATACCACACTGAGATATTGTCACACCCCAGTTAGTCTGGCTATTATCAAAAAGACAGAGAATAACAAATGCCGGTGAGGATGCAGAGAAAGGGGAACCCTCCTACACTCTAAATTTGAAGTGGTTTTAATTTGCATTTCCCTTATTATTAGTGATGTTGAGCATATTTTTTGTATACCTGTTGGCCATTTGTATGTCTTCCTTTGAGAAACATCTACTCAGCTCCTTTGCCCATTTTTAATTGGATTATTTGCTTTTTACTATAAAGTTGCTTAAATTCCTTATATATTCTGGATATTAATCCCTTGTTGAATGCATAGTTCTCAAATATTTTCTCCCATTCTGCAGGTAATCTTTTCACTCTGTTGATTGTCTCGATTTCTGTGTAGAAGCTTTTTAGTTTGATATCCCATTTGTTTATTTTTTCTTTTGTTGTCCGTGCTTTTGGGGTCTCATTCAGGAAGTCTTTGTGCAGTCCTACATCATGGAGTATTTCCCTGTGTTTTCTTTTAGAAGTTGTAAAGTTTCTGATCTTATATTTAAGTCTTTAATCCATTTTGAGTTTATTTTGATATATGGCAAGAGGTACAGATCTAGTTTCATTCTTCTACATATGGATATCCAGTTTTTCCAGCACTATTTATGAAGATGCTCTCCTTCCCCCATTGTGTGTTCTTGGTGTAGGGCAGAGGTGATTTACAACATTGCGATGTACTTCATCTGAACACTGCTTTGCATGTCAACTACAGGTAAAACTCCAGGGACTTCCTGCACTCTGCCTCTTTCCACAACTTTCTCCAATGTGTACAATTATCCCAGGTACTCAGAGCAGCATAGGCTGACCTCTAATTATTCCTCCAACAGTCCAAGGACTTATATAAATGATTAGATGGATATAGTACTCCCCAAGGAATTCTACTTCCCCAGAAACAAGATGTAGCTGCTCAGCCAATTCTTGTTCCTCATGTTGTAAATCCCATAGTCTTTTCGTTAAAACTATTACATATTCTGAAGATCTGTCCCATATTGCACTGATCCTCAGCCAAAGTCAGTCCCACATTCTAGTCACCATCAAAAAATGCCATTCTTCATAAAAGTAAAAGTAAAGAAGGGATATACACATAGGACTTCCTGTCCAGACACGATAGCATTGATTCATACCTCTCTCCTTTTCCCCACTATGTACAATTGTAAGAAACAAACAAAGGAGAAATCTGAAAAGTAGAACTGGCTAGGCATCCCCAGGATTGTAGGAAAAACACAGTGGCAAGGTGGTTTATATCATGTTACTCAATAGAAGAAA